ACAGGGTTAATTGACCTGCCCAGGGTCACACAGCTAGTAAGTATATGAGTTTGGATTTGAACTCAGGTCTTCCTGACTCCAGGCCTGGCATTCTATCCACTGTGCCATCTACCTGCCCTGAGCTATTATAATGCAGGTTGGAATATTAAAATAAAACCTAGAGGAGCAGAGAAAAAAATGGAGATGGCTTTATTACTTTGGAAAAAATCTCCTAAGTTGATGCAGTTTTCCATAAAGAGAATGTGAAAATGATTTGATTGATTTGTTTAAAATTAGGAATATTTCCTAATAGAATGGATTCTGCATAATTGTTTCTGTGCAAAATGGTTTCTGTTACTTTTCCTTTGTATATCACAGGGTGGTTGGAAAGAATCTTCTAATTAGTAACATGTGACTATGTATTTTACTTAACCTGAAGACAGGGAAGTTTTAGTGAATAGAGTCACATAAGTTTCTGGTGCTGGAATGATAATGATAACTGACATTTACTTAGAGTTTTAAAGTTTGAAAAACACTTGACATATACAGGGTATCCCAAAAGTCTTAGTGCAGTTTTAACTTAAATTTAGCTGCACGGAGACATTTAAGACCTTCTGTTTTACCGCCCTGGAGCCTTAGAACAATACAGTGAGGTGGGAAGGAGAGAGATTATCTCTATTTTACTGTTGAAGAAACTGAAGGCCGGAGGTGAGCTGACTTGCCCATTGTCAGGTAGGCTGGTAGGGTTTGGACGCTGGTCCTTCTGACTCCAGATTCAGGGATTCAGCCAAAATACCACACTGCTTCCTTGGTGGATAATTTAATACAACTTATTCATTTGACAGTTGATTTGTGTTATTTTTGAGTTGGGTCTGGCTCTTTGTGACCCCATTTGGGGGTTGTTTGGCAAAGATACTAGAATGGTTTGCTATTTCTGTCTTTACAGATGAGGAAACTGAGGCAAACAGGGTGAAGTGACTTGCCCAGGGTCACACTGCTAGTGAGTGTCTGAGGCCAGATTTGAACTCACAAAGAGGGGTCTTCCTGACTCCAGGCCTGGCATTCTATCCTCTGCATCACTTAGGTACTCTTGACAATTCATTACATATTTCTACTTATATGGGTTTGTGATTAAGGCACTTCCAGGTCTATTTTAGGAGAAAAGACAAGACAAAATAAGCATCTTTGCTACCTTAGTAGCTCTATCAGACCTGGATATAATGGGATTTGGAGGAGCCTTAGGGCCTCTATTTGTCTTCTGGGTATGGAGCCACCAAGATTAGGGAAGGGCAGTGGTCTCAAACTCAAATAGAAACTGAGGACCCCCGACATCACTTAGAAAACCACAGATTAACATTATCTGTGTTGTATTGAATTTTGTTTTATTTTGCTAAACATTTCCCAATTATATTTTAATCTCCTTTGGAAAGATTTTTAAGGGAGTTTAACCTTTCTGGAGAAGAATCTCTCTTAGGTGTAGACAGAAAGAAACCAGGTAGAGCATAGTGTAGTTGTCAGATTGTAGGACCTGGGGTCAGGAAGACTTAGGTTTAAAACACTGACACTAACTAATTCTGTGACCTTGAGTCTGTTGTTATTGTTATTATTATTATTATTATTATTATGACTATAAACAACTTTATCTGGATGTCTGGAAACTATAGAACAAGTAATCGTTAAAAAAAAATAAAGTCTGCTATTATAAACATGAGATTATATATACAGTTACCTGAAATTCAAGTTTGCAGTGCAGAAATATAGTTTGATAGAAGTCTGGCTGACAGGAAAATTTTCATTTTTATTAGTATGGCAAACAGAAAGTATTACATCCTTTTTAGGTAATATAGAATACAGGGCAGACGTGTGAGGAGAGGGTGAGGGGCTTGAGATTGCTACAAAAATCTGAAATACATTAGTACTGAGTTTAACATTTTGGAAGAGTCATAATCAGTTGAATTCAACTATTTATTTATTTTTTTGGCTAGGTAGTGGGGTTTAAATGACTTGCCCAGGGTCACACAGCTAGTAAGTGTCAAGTGTTTGAGGCTGCATTTGAACTCAGGTCCTTCTGACTCCAGGGCTAGTGCTCTATCCACTGCTCCACTTAGATGTACCTCAACTGTCATTTACGAAGTGTTAACTCTATGCAGCTCTATGCATATGTGGGTTTGAGAGGAGCTGGGAGGAATATAAACATTTATGGTATGGTCTGTGCTCTCACAGAGCTTATAGTGATGTAAACCAGATTTGATTTTCCTCGTGTAACAAGGTTCTTACTGATCCTTGCAAATGACATTCCATCTCTGGTCTCTAGGCCAGGAATGCCTTCCCTCCTTCCCTCCAACTCTCAGAATCCATAATTTCCTTCAAAACTCAATTCAAATGCCAGCTCAGACATATGGCCTGATTTCCTCTAGCTAATAGTGCCTCCCCTTCCAAAAATTTTATTCTGTGGATATTTCACATATTCTTTGATTTACTGAGGTTTTTTTTTGGGGGGGGTCTTGAGAGGACACTTGCTTTCTCTCCTTAGATAATAAGAGCTTCCTGAGGTTAGTGAGGTGGAGTAGTGGCCAGATTGCTGGACTTGAATTCAAGAAGACCTGAGATCAAAATAGGCCACAGATACTTGCTGGCTATGTAACCCTGGGCAAGTCACTTAACCTCTGTTTGCCTCAATTTCCTCATCTGTAAAGTGGGAAAAATAATAGCACCTACATTTTGGAGTTGTTGTGAGGGTCAAATGAGATATTAATTTTAAAGTGCTCAACACGGTGCCTAGCATGTAGTGATACTGTAATTACTGTTATTATTAATATCTTTGCATTCTAGGTATCTAATATAATGCTTGTCACATAGTAAATGCTTAATAAACTATTGCTGATTGATTTACAGTTGGAGGGGGCCTCAGAGGTCACCTAGCCCAACTCTTTGATTTTTACAAATGAGGAAACTGAGGCCCATAGTGGTGAAGTGATTTGTAGGTAGTAAGTAGCAAGAGCCATCTAGGAGCTGAACACGAGTACTCTCCCTCCAAATCTGGCATTCCTTCCATAGTACTATGCTATGCACTAATCAAATATCAATAAGTATATAATGTATAATTTAAAGATTTTTGAACTTTTAGAAATCAATTTGATAGTTCAGTCTAGTCACCAATCAAGCAATCCTGTAAGCAATCACATAGCACTTTATTCAACACAACCCAGTGTCAGAATGTACCATACCCAGGTCTTACTGATCTCATAATTGTTTGCCTTCTCTATTTTTTACCTTTTGTTGTTCAGTTGGGTCTGACTCTTTGTGACCCCGTGGATCGTAGTATGCCAGGCTCGTCTATCCTCCACTATCTCTAGAAGTCTCTACAGCTTCATGTTACTTGTTTCCATGCTAGTAGCTTATTGGAAATCTTCTGACCTGAGAGGCTTATCTTTTTTTTTTTAATCTTTTTTTATCATTATAATCATTTTATCATTTTAATTTTTTATCATTATAATCATTTTATCATTTTAACTTTTCATCATTTTTTTATCATTATAATCATTTTATCATTTTAATTTTTTTTATCATTTTAATGCTGTCCGTGGGGTTTTCTTGGCAAATATACTCGAGTGGTTTGCCATTTCCTTCTTTAGTGGGTCACCTTTTGTCAGAACTCTCCACTGCGACCTGTCTGTCTTGGGTGACCCTGCACAGCATAGCTCAGGGTTTCTTTGAGCTGTGTAAGCCCCATGGTCACAAGACAGTGATCCAGCAGGTTTATTTATTTATTTATTTTTAAGATTGAACACATGACTTCATTTACCTGAGGGAATTCCTATCAATGCAGATTAGCAACTTTTCTGCAAATTTTAATCTTATAGAATAGCATGGTTAAGTGGTTGTGATACAGTTAGAATCTATTAGAAGTGGGACTTGATGTACTTGGCCTGAATATGAGGCTAATTCTTTACACCGTGATACTTTTTCATTTTTACTACTTATGAGAAAAAGGTCAAGGAATTCCATCAGGATTATCAGATTCAAAAGGGAGTATTTGGGGAGATTTTGATAGGCATCCTTGTGGAGTCACTTTTGGAAGACTGAGGACCACCTACTAGATTTTTGAGAAACTGATCTAGGGATATTCATCTTCTGTGTTTTCTCACTAAAGCCATGTATAGGTATTGAGAGATATTTTTCTGTTTCTTTTGAGGCTGGGATATATTTCCTCAAAACAGACAGAGGAATGTGCCTATTTGGACACTGTGGCTTTACTGAACTGCATTAAATTATGGCATGGTCAGTGGTATACTGGTAAATGTTTAACAACTGGCTATCTGTCTAGAAAAAAAGCACTCACAATCTACTTTTAATTTTAATTTGCCTTATTAAAATCTTCGCCATCATTTTAGAAGTCTTAGGCAACAAAACAATAAATCAGGCCTTGATTTATAGCATTTACTGATTTCTAAGTTGTCAATGCTGACACTGAAAATTTAACAATCAGCTTTTATAAACTGGTTTAAGCTGCCTCTAGCGTGCCTTTAGACATGGCCAGAATTGATTGAATTGAACTAACTCAGCCTGCCTGAGTCTGGAAGGGATAAAAATCAGTCATAATAAGTAACAAATTAATTAATGTTTCCTCTCATTCCAGGACAGCTAAGTTGCTTCTGGATTACTGTCTAGGCTGTTCTAGGAGTCCAATTTTCAAAATTAAAATGGTGTCATCTAGTCTACCTTGATCAGCAGGTAGGTGGCACAGTGGTTAGAGTGTTGGGTCTGGAGTCAGGAAGACCTAAATTCAAATCCAGCCCCAGACACTTAGTAGGTTAGCTGCATGACCCAGGAAAGTCACTTAACTAACCTGTTTGCCTCAGTTCCCTCATCTGTAAAATGAGCTAGAGAAGGAAATGACAAACCCCAAATGGGTTGATGAAGAGTCAGACATGATTGAAACAACTGAATAAACAACAACTATCTTTGAGAAAAAATAAAACATTTCCCCAAGTTCAAAATGAAGGAAGAAAATGTAGTACCTGTCAACACTCAGAGCACAGAGATTGAGGACTGTGATCCCGACTGAGGCCTTCTGCAAGAAGGGAAACAGCTTGCAGAGAAAGACTCCAAACTCATTCTGCTCGAAAGGCCAACGCTGAGCTAAGAGCTAAAGAAAGGAGGGACTGTGATTAGAACCACAATGAGTCAAACCTTTAAGACCACCAAGAAGCATGAGGCCAGGTATGTGTTTGGGGGCCTCTGCAGAGGGCTAGGTGTGTTGTATGTGAGCATGATTAACACTGGCAAGCTATTTATGCTCACTGATCAGTCTTTAAAATTTTTTTTTTCTCCTTATGTCTCTCCACTCACTGAAAAGAAAGAAAGGAAAGAAGGTAGCAAAAAATAGAGAACTCCTATCATATAACACTTTTAAAAAATATCTTTTAATTTATGGAATAATACAAGCATTTCTATAACATAGTATAATAAAAAAGATGATTGCACATACAACTGCAACTCTATTAGGGACAGCTTGCTATTCCTTTTAAATAAATAATAACTTTATTATATAAGTTTCTTTTTTTATGGCTGAACAAGTTGTGGTATATGATTGTGATGGAATACTACTGTATAGACTACTAATATAAGAAATTATGAGCCCAATGATCATAGAAAAACATGGAAAGACTTGCATGAAATAATCGAGAGTGAAATGAGCAGAACCAAGAGAACATTGTATACAGTTTTAAGAATGTTTTAAGAATGACTTTGAGTGAATAAGTCTCTTTGACTATTATAAATACCCAAATTAACTATAAAGGACATATGAAGAAAGATGCTATTTGCATCCAGAGAAAGAACTCATAAGCATAGTCAAGTGAAAACAAATTCTTGATATTGGGTGCACTGTTCTTGCCAAAGCAGTCAGTGATGCCTGGAGAACCAATTAGTTGCTAATATACAGCTATGGGCACAAGAAGGGCTGTTGGAGAAAGGAAGTACTTGAGTTGTATTGCTCCTCTCTGATACAGTTTCAGCTAAGTAATGACTAGCCTTTCTTCTACTACTTGATGGCGTTAAAGGATGTGGGGTGTGAAGGCACCATTTCTAAGCTATCATAGTTTGTTTCAGCTTCCAATTTCCCTGTTTCTCTCCATAGGCTGAGCTATGTTATCACTGCTGGTCATGGCCATTTACAATGAGCCTGGATCCTTAACTTTACGGAAAAAGTCCTTTCTTCCACTAACACAATATCTTTGTTTCAAATGAAAGGGCTCACCCTATCCTTTGGACTGGGGTGGGTAGGAAGAGGATAGACAGCAAGAATAGCTGTAATAGCACCTGGATGCGGTGCAGGTGCTTTCCTAGCAAACTATTTTAATCAATGGGAGTAAAAGTATAGACTGTCCAAGCTTCCTTTACCCCAGATGATTCAGGAAACAGGAACCAGAGGCATAACCAGCAATTCTGGTTTTGGAGCAAATTCAGTTGTAAGGTGGAGGCTTGGATATCTTGGGAGAGGCTTCAGTCATTCTGGTGTGAGGGTGGTGGAATAGAGAACGTTGGATCTTGAGAGACCATTGCCTGGGAAACCACTGAATGCAGAGGAAATGGGGCGGAGTGGGCCAGGAAGGATTGGAGGCAGGGGTTGGGGGAAGGAATTTAGGGAAGAAGTGTGCCAATGGGAGCTTCTTAAATTTTTATTTTAAAAGTAAATTAATTTATTTTTAAGCAGTGTTTTATTATCTCTCCCTTCCAATCCCCTCTCTGAAATAGAACAATACAAGAAAGACATCCCTCCCCCAATTACCACAACAACCCAAACCTCCCTCACAATGACTATGCAGAGTTGGGCAAAATAAATCCCCACATTGGCCGTGTCCATGTTGCTTCCTAGTTTAAATAACTTTTCCTGCTAACTAGGGACTAAACTCAGTTGCTTCTACCTGCTAAAATAATATATGGGCTTTCAATGCCTCCTAAATTTTGGCTCTGGAACAAAGCCCGAGAGCTATGCCTTCACGATAGGTCTTGGATGGTCACTGTTCCTTCTTCTGGAGATCAGTGTATTTTGTGAATAATGAAAAAAGAAAATAGAGACTTTTGCTTAATATTTTGTTTGGCGACTGTATTAAAACTTACAACTTGGAGTAAGAATCACCATGAACATTATTGTAGTGGAAGCAAACTCTTGTTTACATCTAGTATCTTTAGCAATCAGAAGCAGGTTCTGGTCTTTCTGGTTACCATTTTATGTTTTGTGAGGTAAGTAGTTCAGGGCTGTCACTCTGTTAGGTGGGTAAGGAAGAGATAGTGATAATTTCAGCTAAGAAGGCACCATTCACAAGTCATGAGGATTCATCTCCGCTCAAGATTTCCCTGCTGCATATATTGATTTTTGTTAAACCTCATCACCATGATCATTAGCAATGACTTTCTGTGCTTGACCATAAAACAGCCTAGGACCACATGGTCTTGGAATAAGAACTTTGTTTTTGCTTATTGTATGCCGGCAGCATATAATAAGGGCATGGTCAATCCTGTTTTTGTCTCTGTATGTGTAGAGCCTATCACATTACCATGCATACAGTAGGTGCTTAATAAATGTTTGTTGAATTGAACCTTAGTATTTTGGAACTGTCTAATCCATTATATAGTTATTTTTTTCTCATCTTTTTTTTCCTACCCAAAGCTCCATCTAACTCTGTTTCAGGAGTTATTTCTTATTTTTCCTTTCCTTTCCCTTTCCTTACCCTTACTAGGAGACACTATATTTTTCTACTTCAGTTGAGAAAATGGATATAAAGAAATTTGTAGAGTACTATATACATGTCAGCTCTTGTTATTATTACAGCCGCAATACCCTAGACACTCAGTCTCTACTCCTCTACAAATGACCTTCAGCTATTTTTCATCCATTCCCCGCCCCCTTCCCACCAACAATTCCCTCCAGTTTAGGTATCTTTGTATTCGGCTTCTCACTTCCCCTGTGCCTTAGGGGAAAGAGTTCTATTTCCTGTCCCTTAGAAAACCTTTTTGTAGAGTCCCAATGACCTTTTGCAGACTCGGAGGGAGCCTGCTGCATATTTTTTCTTCAGAGGGCATTCAGAGGGATCCAGCCCCATCTCTGGCCTCTTATTTATTTCTTCAAGTATAATCTAATTCAATTTCTAGTTCTTCAACTCCTATGTATGTTCTGAGACTTAAGATCTCCATATAAAACTTCATGACCACAGGGCTTTTTAGGAAATAGGGTACTGGTAATGCCTGCTTTCCATAAAGACTGCAGATAATTAGTGCACTAACGAGAATCCCTTTCTAATGGCTGGTTGTCAAAGATTTGGACAAGTAGAGACACCTACAAAGCAATACTCCGGGACTGACTCACATCTTTGCAAATAAAAGGAAACTTTAAAATTATTTTTGCAGCATGACAGTGCTGTTTTCTTCAAAACAAAACAAGACAAAACAAAAACAACCTGAATGGGAATTTCTATTCAAAGACTTCCTTGAATGGAATAAAAAATGTGTTGGGGATGTGGAGTGAAGAGAGAAGAACAAGAAGAAAAAGTTATATTATGACACCAATGTTATAAAAATGAGCAATTCTGGAAGATTTAAGAACTTGCACAATGCAATGATCCATCATGACTCTAGAAGAACAGTGATGAAGAATGCTACCACTGTCATGACAGAAGCGTGACCAATGTGCAGAATGGGATACTTCTTTTAAAAAATATCTAATATGGGAATTTGTTTTACTTGACCACATGCATTTGTTACAAGGGTTTTCTTTTTCAGAGCAGGGGTGAAGGGGGAGAGAGAAAAAATAAGTGCTTGGTAATTGAAAAAAAAAAAATTATGTCTTGGAATTATAAATAAAATTATTTCCATATATAAAACCTTCACTCAGAAGCAACATGGGGTAGTAGATGGTTAGTCTGTCTTTAGAGTCAGGAAGTACTGTGTTCAAGTGCTACCTCTGACAAGTACTATGTGACTCTGGGCAAGTCATTTTATGTCCCAGTTGCTGAGGTAACTTTTTAACTAAAAGTGACAGAACATATACTGAGCCCATTGGAAGAAAGACTCTCTTTACAAACAACGAAATTGCAGGTCTGGTTAAAAAAAAAAAACCAACCCAAACCTTCCCTGTAGGTACTCCCTCTATGGTACAGGCCGTAACTTATACACACATTGTTTCTCATTCTATGTGACTCTTGTGAGCATAATCACTGCCCTTTCCCTAAAGTGTATGCTTATGCACTCGACTATATTTTTTAGTCTATAAAGAAAGCCAGCATTCATCCACTTGGTTTTTCCTGTATGGTTTGTTACATTGAACTGTCTTGCATAGTTGTGGATCTCATTAAGGAGATTTATGGTATGCATGGCTTCATGCAGTCCAGTGAGATGGACCATAGTGGACCACCTAGAAGATCCCTACATTTCGCAGGGGATTCCTTTTCCATTTGGATCTTGGGCAAGGCATTCTCCATGACAGTGGTAGTCCCCTTTGGCCATCATATGTCTCCTTTTTTTACATATAACTTGGTATTAATAATAGAAGATCACTGAACAAAGTTATCTTTGTGTTTATGTCAATGGAGGAATCTTGTAGAATCTTAATGTGTGCAAACAAGGATAGTTTTTGAGGGTGTATTTCTATATTTCATCAAATGCTTTAGATAATCAGCAAACAGACACAATGGGATATTCCATTTTTTTTTTTGCATCTTTCAGTTAAGTGCTGTCATTATGAAGATGTGTTTTGCTTTGTTGGGAAAAGTCCATCTGTTTCCTTCTCCTGTTTTCATTGAGGACATTCCCAATATATGTAGACCATTCTCATAAAGAATCCATAAAGATGAGAAAGTTGGCATATGAATCAGTAGTTATTGCTAACTTCACCTTTTTGGTTAATAACACATGATATATTTTTCAAAAATAATCATGGGTTCACTGGTTCATAGATTTTGAACTACAGAGGTTCTTAGAGGTCATTTAGTCTAACCTCCTTAACTTATAGATAAGGAAAGTGAGGTCCAGAGAGACTATGACTTGCCCATTCATTTGAACCAATAATAACAATATTGATACATTTCACTTTCTCCAGTAATAATATAAACTTGCCTTTTTTTGGGACAAGGACCTTACACATTGAGT